CTCTCCCATGCTCCCATTATTACCAGAGAAGAAACCGACGTCACACTAGCCTCCAGGACACACACTCATGTCTACTATTGCAGCAATGTCTACTACTGCCCATTCACTTTGTCTCCACTGACTTCATTTAGACTGATATAAAAGGAAGTATGCCTATGCAATTTGAGCCATGGTCTATTAGAGCCAGTTTAACAGAACTAAGCCACTGAAATAAAGTGGACTTTTATAAAGAAGGCTGAATGTAATTAAATAATTTGTCTGTCTGTCATAAATGGCTTAAAATGATTATAAATAGAAACATTTATCAGTTTCACTTAAAGTCAAAAGGTTTGATGGCAATACCATATCAAATTCAAGTCAGTTGGGAACAGCTTTTTGATGGCCCAATACCTTGTCATCAGGTCTATGAACTGACATAAAACAACAATTTACACATCAATCTGTTCGTTTCAATTTAAGCTATTACATTATATAAGATACTTGCTACAAAAAGAATGCTCAATATATGGGGCATTGAACAGTCAGCCTTGTGCAGACTCTGCCACAAGAAAACAGAATCCATAGAACATATTTTCTGGTACTGTCCATCGGTGGCTCACTTTTGGAGTCCGGTTCAGGAATGGTTGTTATGTCATAAAATCAGGATTCAGATGGACCTGCAAAAACACAGAAAATCTGAACACTGGATCTGGAAAAACACAATCGGTCAATGGGAAAATATCATTATACTCTTGGATAAAGTATTTATTTTTAGGGCAATATCGGTAGAAATGTTACAAATAGGGAGGTTCAGGACCCTTGTAAGACATCACAGTAAAATGGAGGGATGTATTGCAAAAGGAAATAGCAAAATGGCATTATACTGGGAAAAATGGGTTAATCTGTGGACATCGGAGGGTTAGAGTTAACATCAGAATGAATGGTGGATTGGCCGCCCTGGTTGAAAATCCAGTACAGTACTTGAAGAAAGAGGAAATTAGGAATATATGTATAATTATTTAACTACAGGTAGTGTAGTTGTGAGTGAAATAGCTGTAAGTAGCAGTAGAAGTATTGTTGTCCATTAGTTTACTCCAATTAGGGTAGGGATGGTATGGGGGGAAAAGTATAGAGAAAAAAAGAAAGAAAGGGGGATTAGAAATGATGCAAACAATTAAAAGAAGGCTGCTACTTCCCCTTTGAAATCTGTTTTCACATTAGGCCAAGCAGTCTGATACTAATAAACACACTTCCGTGTCTCTTGATTTAGTGTAATAACAGTAAATACTTCAACTCTTACAGTCCCACCGTGACGCTGGCGCGTTTTGGACTTCTAACCCCTTTTAAACATTGTGTTGGTTTGTTGCATTGGATTCATCAATTTTTTCTGCATCCGCTGATACCAACCATTAGTATGTGTGATTAACGGTACTGAGGTAAAGCAGTGTTTGTGAGACAAGGGCGTATCCCGAAAACCTTTCTTCTCACAAAAAGGTCTGTAAAGTCCACAAACTATTATGACCTCTCTATGAAAAGCTGAGACTCACATGAACACGCACATGTTTTACTCTATGACACTCACAAGCTGCGCAAGAGTCATTAGATGGTAAGGGGTTCTTCTACATAGAAGATCATAGGAAATCCCAGGACATATTGTATAATACTGTAGCTCACATACTTGCTGTCACAAACTCCAACAGTTGTCAATGACTAGTTTGATATACATTCCCCACTGAGCAAACAATTCCTGTACTTACAGCATTCTTATGAATGTATTTTTTTGAAAAAAAATGTTTTATTGACATTTGTCAATAGAACTCATCAACCCAACTGTTTATGTCAAATTGTTTTGTGTTCTACTTGTCGCCCTGGATGTCCTAAAGATGATAAAACACTTCAATGTGAGGCTAAATACAGTATATGTACATATATACATATACATATATGTACAGTGCATTCGGAATGTATTCAGACCCCTTGACTTTTTCCACATATTGTTACGTTACAGCCTTATTCTAAAAGTGATTAAATCAATAAAAATCCTCATCAATCCACACATAATACCCCATAATGACAAAGCGAAAACAGGTTTTTAGAAAGTTTTGCAAATTTATAAAAAATAAAAAACAGAAATACCTTATTAATATACAGTGAGGGAAAAAGTATTTGATCCCCTGCTGATTTTGTACGTTTGCCCACTGACAAAGAAATTATCAGTCTATAATTTGAATGGAAGGTTTATTTGAACAGTGAGAGACAGAATAACAACAAAATCCAGAAAAACGCATGTCAAAAATGTTATAAATTGATTTGCATTTTAATGATGGAAATAAGTATTTGACCCCCTCTCAATCAGAAAGATGTCTGGCTCCCAGGTGTCTTTTATACAGGTAACGAGCTGAGATCAGGAGCACACTCTTAAAGGGAGTGCTCCTAATCTCAGCTTGTTACCTGTATAAAAGACACCTGTCCACAGAAGCAATCAATCAATCAGATTCCAAACTCTCCACCATGCCCAAGACCAAAGAGCTCTCCAAGGATGTCAGGGACAAGATTGTAGACCTACACAAGGCTGGAATGGGCTACAAGACCATCGCCAAGCAGCTTGGTGAGAAGGTGACAACAGTTGGTGCGATTATTCGCAAATGGAAGAAACACAAAATAACTGTCAATCTCCCTCAGCCTGGGGCTCCATGCAAGATCTCACCTCGTGGAGTTGCAATGATCATGAGAATGGTGAGGAATCAGCCCAGAACTACATGGGAGGATCTTGTCAATGATCTCAAGGCAGCTGGGACCATAGTCACCAAGAAAACAATTGGTAACACACTACGCCGTGAAGGACTGAAATCCTGCAGCGCCCGCAAGGTCCCCCTGCTCAAGAAAGCACATATACAGGCCCGTCTGAAGTTTGCCAATGAACATCTGAATGATTCAGAGGAGAACTGGGTGAAAGTGTTGTGGTCAGATGAGACCAAAATTGAGGTCTTTGGCATCAACTCAACTCGCCGTGTTTGGAGGAGGAGGAATGCTGCCTATGACCCCAAGAACCCCATCCCCACCGTCAAACATGGAGGTGGAAACATTATGCTTTGGGGGTGTTTTTCTGCTAAGGGGACAGTACAACTTCACCGCATCAAATGGACGATGGACGGGGCCATGTACCGTCAAATCCTGGGTGAGAACCTCCCCTCAGCCAGGGCATTGAAAATGGGTCGTGGATGGGTATTCCAGCATGACAATGACCCAAAACACACGGCCAAGGCAACAAAGGAGTGGCTCAAGAAGAAGCACATTAAGGTCCTAGAGTGGCCTAGCCAATCTCCAGACCTTAATCCCATAGAAAATCTGTGGAGGGGGCTGAAGAGTTGCCAAACATCAGCCTCGAAACCTTAATGACTTGGAGAAGATCTGCAAAGAGTGGAACAAAATCCCTCCTGAGATGTGTGCAAACCTGGTGGCCAACTACAAGAATCGTCTGACCTCTGTGATTGCCAACAAGGGTTTTGCCACCAAGTACTAGGTCATGTTTTGCAGAGGGGTCAAATACTTATTTCCCTCATTAAAATGCAAATCAATTTATAACAAAAAAAGTTGACATGCGTTTTTCTGGATTTTTTTGTTGTTACTCTGTCTCTCACTGTTCAAATAAACCTACCATTAAAATTATAGACTGATCATGTCTTTGTCAGTGGACAAGCGTACAAAATCAGCAGGGGATCAAATACTTTTTCCCCTCACTGTAAGTATTCAGATCCTTTGCTATGAAACTCGAAATTGAGCTCAGGTGCATCCTGTTCACATTGATCATCCTTGAGATGTTTCTACATCTTGATTGGAGTCCACCTGTGGTAAATTCAAGTGATTGGACATGATTTGGAAAGGCACACACCTGTCTATATAAGGTCCCACAGTTGACAGTGCATGTCAGAGCAAAAACCAAGCCATGTGGTCGAAAGAATTGTCCGTAGAGCCCCGGGACAGGATTGTGTCGAGGCACAGATCTGGGGAAGGGTACCAAAACGTTTCTGCAGCATTGAAGGTCCCCAAGAACACAGCGGCCTCCATCATTCTTAAATGAAAGAGGTTTTTGTACCACCAAGACTAACCGCCCGGCCAAACTGAGCAATCGGGGGAGAAGGGCCTTGGTCAGGGAGGTGACCAAGAACCCGATGGTCACTCTGACAGAGCTCAAGAGTTCCTCTGTGGTAATGGGAGAACCTTCCAGAAGGACAACCATCTCTGCAGCACTCCACCAATCAGGACTTTGTGGTAGAGCGGCCAGACAGAAAGCCACTCCTCAGTAAAAGGCACGACAGCCCGCTTGAAGTTTGCCAAAAGGCACCTAAAGGACTCTCAGACCATGAGAAACAAGATTATCTGGTCTGATGAAACCAAGATTGAACTCTTTGGCCTGAATGCCAAGCGTCACGTCTGGAGGATACCTGGCACCATCTCTACGGTGAAGCATGGTTGTGGCAGCATCATGTAGTGGGGATGTTATTCAGGGACTGGGAGACTAGTCAGGATCAAGGGAAAGATGAACGGAGCAAGTACAGAGAGATCCTTGATGAAAACCTGCTCCAGAGTGCTCATGACCTTAGACTGGGGCGAAGGTTCACCTTCCAACAGGACAACGACCCTAAGCCCACAGCCAAGACCCGGCAGGAGTGGCTTCGGGACAACTCTCTGAATGTCCTTGAGTGTCCCAGCCAAAGCCCGGACTTGAACCGGTTCCAACATCTCTGGAGAGACCTGAAAATAGCTGTGCAGCGACGCTCCCCATCCAACCTGACAGAGCTTGAGAGGATCTGCACAGAAGAATGGGAGAAACTCCCCAAATACAGGTGTGCCAAGCTTGTAGCGTCATACCCAAGAAAACTCGAGGCCAAAGGTGCTTCAACAAAGTACTGAGTAAAGGGTCTGAATACTTATGTAAATGAGATATTTCTGTTTTTGCAAACATTTAAAAAAAACGGTTTTTGCTTTGTCATTATGGGGTATTGTGTGTAGATTGATGAGGGAAAAAAACAATTAAATCAATTTTAGAATAAGGCTGTAACCTAACAAAATGTGGAAAAAGTCAAGGGGTCTGAATACTTTCTGAATGCACAATATGAAGGCAGAGCAAGCAGATGAATGAAAGTAGTGAATTAAAACTTTTTCACTGTGGTATTTCCTGGGACATACAGTGCCTTGCAAAAGTATTCATCCCCCTTGGCATTTTTCCTAATTTGTTGCATTACAACCTATAATTTTAATGGATTTTTATTGAGATTTCATGTAATGGACATACACAAAATAGTCCAAATTGGTGAAATGAAATGAATTTTTTGTTGTTTTTTTCAAAAATGTCTAAAAAATCAATCACGGAAAAGTAGTGCGTGCATATGTATTCACCCCCTTTGCTATGAAGCCCCTAAATAAGATCTGGTGCAACCAATTACCTTCAGAAGTCACATAATTAGTTAAATAAAGTCCACCTGTGTGCAATCTAAGTGTCACATGATCTGTCACATGATCTCAGTATACATAAACCTGTTCTGAAAGGCCCCAGAGTCTGCAACACCACCAAGCAAGCGGCACCACCAAGCAAGCGGCACCATGAAGAACAAGGAGCTCTCATAACAGGTCAGGGACAAAGTTGTGGAGAAGTACAGATCAGGGTTGGGATATAAAAAAATATCAGAAACTTTGAACATCCCATGGAGCACCATTAAATCCATTATTAAAAAATTGAAAGAATATGGCACCACAACAAACCTGCCAAGAGAGGGCCGCCCACCAAAACTCATGGACCAGGCAAGGAGGACATTAATCAGAGAGGCAACAAAGAGACCAAAGATAACCCTGAAGGAGCAGCAAAGCTCCACAGCGTGGATTGGAGTATCTGTCCATAGTACCACTTTAAGCCGTACACTCCACAGAGCTGGGCTTTACGGAAGAGTGGCCAGAAAAAAGCCATTGTTAAAGAATAAAAAAAGAAAACACGTTTGGTGTTCGCCAAAAGCCATGTGGGAGACTCCCCAAACATATGGAAGAAGGTACTCTGGTCAGATGAGACTAAAATTTAGCTTTTTGGCCATCAAGGAAAACGCTATGTCTGGTGCAAACCCAACACCTCTCATCACCCCCGAGAACACCATCCCCACAGTGAAGCATGGTGGTGGCAGCATCATGCTGTCGGGATGTTTTTCATCGGCAGGGACTGGGAAACTGGTCAGAATTGAAGGAATGATGGATGGCGCTAAATACAGGGAAATTCTTGAGGGTAACCTGTTTCAGTCTTCCAGAGATTTAAGACTGGGACGGAGGTTCACCTTCCAGCAGGACAATAACCCCAAGTATTGACTTTGGGGTGGGGGGGTGAATAGTTATGTATGCTCAAGTTTTCTGTTTTTATTGTCTTATTTCTTGTTTACACAAAAAAAAATATTTTGCATCTTCAAAGTGGTAGGCATGTTGTGGAAATGAAATGATACAAACCTCCCAAAAAATCCATTTTAATTCCAGGTTGTAAGGCAACAAAATAACAAAAATGCCAAGGGGGGTGAATACTTTCGCAAGCCACTGTACTACCCAACCTAATGTATACAAATGGACTTGTTATTCACTTAATGAAAAGTCAATTTGGCTACATTCCCTGCTGTTGGGATCATTTGAATGCATAGATTTGGCTACTCATATAGTGAAGGTCATAGTTGTAGGATATGTTTGAGTAGCAAATGAACGTTTTATTTGAGAAATAGCAACAGTCAAATTAATCTCATTAATCACAATACCCAGAGATACACTTAGCTAGGAAACCGTATTTTGAACAGTGCAATTAATTTAGTCAGCATAAGCCAAACGTAAATGGAGAATAAGATGAGGCCTACACACAGGTGGAATCCATAAAACTGATCCAATTCCACAATTGAAGGAAGAAAAACTGTAGCCTATACCTTGTTTGTTGTGGTTTTCTCCTCAGTGTTTGAGAAGTAAAGTTCCGTGGTAAAGAGAATAAAGAGATTTTGCTAAGTTGTATAATAATGTAGATGTGTATGAGGGCAGATGCAGTTCATTTGACGGGTGCAGTGCAATGATTTAAATGTACAGTGGATTATATACATCATTGGTGCAGTGAGAGCAGTAGGTTGTACCTTTGATAACCGACAGGCTTAGAGGCCTGGGAGGCAATTATCTCCTGCGGCTTGGGTTTTGTCGCTTAGCAACATATCAAAGTTTCTCCAGCTGAGCTTCCAGTCAAAACAAACGCGCTAGCAAGCTAGCTAACACTGTCACTTATTTCAGCTAATAGTTCAGGTGAATCAACGTCTACGACACAGCCCGAATGTCAAAAGCTCCAGCAAAGAAAAAGGAGTTGTCCTCCAGCCGTGTCACTTCATCACAAGGACAGACACCAAATAAAGAGTAAGACTGTTTGATGGTCAAGCTAGCGTAGTATCTATGCTATAATGGTCGTTATTTATCATGTCAAGCAACACTTAAATACTCTGATTTCAAATTAACGTATATTTGCCATGGTGTTACATGTTATTTGTGGTTATCACTGTCATAGGTAGCTAGTCAGCTAATTACAAAGTAACGTTACACAGCAACGTTAGCTAGCTAAATGTCTGAACTTGTTGGCAAGGTACGACAGGTGTCAATCAATCATAATGCCCCCCCCCCCCCCCACCATTCTCTTTGGTGGGCCTTCCTATAGTACAGTAAATAGTATTATATACCGCCTTTGCCTACTTCAAACCATACTTCCTTCAGATTGAAATACTGTCAAAAATACTGTCAGACTGATTTGTAATAGACTGCCATAGGCCAAATTTAAAAAAGTAAAAATTGGCTGCTTTTTTTTACATGGCGGGGTCGCAAAAACAAATCTATATCAAAATGGGGTCACAGGCTGACCTCTGACGTCACCTACTAAGGAAATGACCTCGATAACAGCATTTTCGACAGTTAAATGCAACAACAAAACATGATTTATTAAAATGCAATTTTTGAACCCTATAATGTCTTTACATGCCCTGATAGCTTTACCTTTAGTTTAGGGTTGACGCAGCTTGTTGGCCATTTGCCAAGTTCAAAGCACATGAATGCATCCAATTGGTATTTACCACCTCCCACTTGGTTATGCACGCAGCATTATGTAGCGTGGCCAGGGAGTTGTCTGACAGGGGCTAGCTAGCCTACTGCGTTATGTGATTTGTCACTTCTGTCTACTTTGCTTGAGCCCACGAAATGTAAAACTCTGCCAGAAAAAAGTAGCTAGTCACCTAATTTTAAACACCACAGGGTTTAAACGCCCATTTTCAGCATCCTACTCACTAGCTAGTTCTAAAAGCACTGCTTCTTGATATTGTGGACCTTGATGTAGCTAGCCTGCAAGCTGGCATTATTTATCTGTAGCTTCAGGGCTCTTGCTCTGCTCTCACTTTACAAAAGCGCCCAACCACTGAGTTTCATGAACAAGCTGTACATGGGGCAATTTGCCAGGGTTCTGCTTTGAAATCCCTGCCCCTCGGCTCTTCCAATCCAAGTTACTGACTGTGTGCGGAAGGGAGTCAGTACATGATTGTGTCGATAGCACCACCAACTAAAATGCATCAGTTGTAATAATAATGTATAGCCTAAACATGTTTATGAATACCACAGCATCATGGCTGGTGTGGCACTACAACACACACCTGTTTATAGGTGTCAAACCTGAATCATGCTTGTTTGTGGTTACCCCCCCAGAGCATCGTCCCTGGTGGCTAGTGCCTCAGAGGGCCCAGGAGAGCTGAGGAGATGCCGCTACCCCATCTGGCCGGAGTGGAGTGAGGCAGAGGTCAACACAGAGAAATGGGATGCGGCCAAGGGCGCTAAGGATGGGAAGATGGGGAAGAGTCCATTTTTGGTGAGTATTGATGGATTAGGCCTAGTGAAATTCCTATAGGATCTAGGCTATCCATCTATGGATGGATTTCTTAGATACTGCAGCCTGCAGTGCCTCATGTTTCTTTGGCAGGTTAGCGTTTTTTGTCATGAATCTTGTTCTGGAGGCAGCACTGCAGAGTCGGTACTAACTGGCACAGCCACAAAGTCATAAAATCAGATTTTAAACCACGCTGCTAACCCTAATGCCTAACCCTAACCTTAAAGTAAGACCAAAAAGCTCATTTTTGTTAGATTTTTTACAATATAACCAATTTTGACTTTGCAGCTGGCCTTTCTAAGGGAAACTCGCTCAGTTCTGCCTCCAGAACAAGACTCATGACAATAAAGGTCAACCTGAGTTTCTTTGGCTCTTTTGTTTTTTATTTGGGGGTGGGTAGATCAGCGTTAATACTGCAGATAGATTGTAGCTTCCATCAATGTAATTGTCTGCATAATTTCCAATCCCTCATATATATTTTTTGTAAATATATACACTACCGGTCAAAAGTTTTAGCACACCTACTCATTCAAGGGTTTTTCTTTATTTTTACTATTTTCTAATTGTAGAATAGTAGTGAAGACACCAAAACTATGGAATAACACATATGGAATCATGTAGTGACCAAAAAAGTGTAAAACAAATCAAAATATATTTTATATTTGAGATTCTTCAAATAGCCACTCTTTGCCTTGATGACAACTTTGCACACTCTTGGCATTCTCTCAACCAGCTTCATGAGGTAGTCACCTGGAATGCATTTCAATTAACAGGTGTGCCTTCTTAAAAGTTAATTTGTGGAATTTCTTTCCATCTTAATGCGTTTGAGCCATTTAGTTGTGTAGTGACAAGGTGTGTGTGTGTGTGTGTGTGTGTGTGGGGGGGGGGGGGGGGGGGGTATACACAAGATAGCCCTATTTGGTAAAAGACCAAGTCCATATTACGGCTCAAATAAGCAAAGAGAAACGACAGTCCATCATTACTTTAAGACATGAAGGTCAGTCAATATGGAACATTTCAAGAACTTTAAACGTTTCTTCAAGTGCAGTCACAAAAACCATCAAGCACTATGATGAAACTGGCTCTCATGAGGACCGTGAGAGGAATGGAAGACCCAGAGTTTCCTCTGCTGCAGAGGATTAGTTAATTTGAGTTACCAGCCTCAGAAATTGCATCCCAAATAAATGCTTCACAGAGTTCAAGTCACAGCAACATCTCAACATCAACTGTTCAGAGGAGACTGTGTGAATCAAGCCTTCATGGTCGAATTGCTGCAAAGAAACTACTACTAAAGGACACCAATAATAAGAAGAGACTTGCTTGGGCCAAGAAACACCAGCAATGGACATTAGACCGGTGGAAATTTGTCCTTTGGTTCGAACCGCATTGTCTTTGTAAGACGCGATGTGGTTGAACGGATGATCTCTGCTTGTGTATGAAAATGTATATAAGATAAGAGTGTCTGCTAAATTACTAAAATGTAAATGTAAATGTGTATTTCCCACCGTAAAGCATGGAGGAGGAGGTGTTATGGTGTGGGGGTGTCTGCAGCGATACGCCATCCCATCTGGTTTGGGCTTAGTGGGACTATCATTTGTTTTTCAACAGGACAATGACCCAACACACCTCCAGGCTGTGTAAGGGCTATTTGACCAAGAAGGAGGGTGATGGAGTGCTGCATCAGATGACCTGGCCTCCACAATCCCCCGACCTCAACCAAATTGAGATTGTTTGGGATGAGTCGACCGCAGAGTGAAGGAAAAGCAGCCAACAAGTGCTCAGCATATGTGGGAACTCCTTCAAGACTGTTGGAAAAGCATTTCATTTGAAGCTGGTTGAGAGAATGCCAAGAGTGTGCAAAGCTGTCATCAAGGCAAAGGGGTGGCTATTTGAAGAATCTCAAATATAAAATATATTTTGATTTGTTTAACACTTTTTTGGTAACGACATGATTCCATATGTGGTATTTCATAGTTTTGGTGTCTTCAATATTATTCTACAATGTAGAAAATAGCAAAAATAAAGAAAAACCCTTGAATGAGTAGGTGTTTTAAAACTTTTGACCGGTAGTGTACATATACACAGTGCATTCGGAAAGTATTCAGACCTCTTGACTTTTTCCACATTTTGTTATGTTACAGCCTTATTCTAAAATTGATTAAATTGTTTTTTCCCCTCATCTATCTACACACAATACCCCATAATGACAAAGCAAAAACAGGTTTTTAGAAAAACTGAAATATCACATTTACATAAGTATTCAGACCCTTTACTCAGTACTTTGTTGAAGCACCGTTGGCAGCGATTACAGCCTCGAGTCTTCTTGGGTATGATGCTTCAAGCTTGGCACACCTGTATTTGGGGAGTTTCTCCCATTCTTCTCTGCAGATCCTCTCAAGGTCTGTCAGGTTGGATGGGGAGCATTGCTGCACAGCTATTTTCAGGTCTCTCCAGAGATGTTCTATCGCATTCAAGTCCGGGCCACTCAAGAACATTCAGAGACTTGTCCCGAAGCCACTCCTGCATTGTCTTGGCTGTGTGCTTAGGGTCGTTGTCCTGTTGGGAAGTGAGCCGTCGCCCCAGTCTGAGGTAGTGAGCGCACTGGAGCAGGTTTTCATCAAGGATGTCTCTGTACTTTGTTCCGTTCATCTTTGTCTCGATCCTGACTAGTCTCCCAGTCCCTGCCGCTGAAAAAAATCCCCATAAAATGATGCTTCCACCACCATGCTTCACCGTAGGGCTGGTGCCAGGTTTCCTCCAGACGTGACGCTTGGCATTCAGGCCAAAGAGTTCAATCTTGGTTTCATCAGACCAGAGAATCTTGTTTCTCATGGTCTAAGAGTCTTTAGGTGCCTTTTGGCAAACTCCAAGTGGGCTGTCATGTGCCTTTTACTGAGGAGTGGCTTCCGTCTGGCCACTACCATAAAGGCTTGATTGGTGCAGAGATGGTTGTCCTTCTGGAAGGTTCTCCCATCTCCACAGAGGAACTCTATAGCTCTGTCAGAGTGACCATCGGGTTCTTGGTCACCTCCCTGACCCTTCTCCCCTTATTGCTCAGATTGGCCGGGCGGCCAGCTCTCAGAAGTGTCTTGGTGGTTTCAAACTTCTTCCATTTAAGAATGATGCAGGCAATTGTGTTCTTGGGGACCTTCAATGCTGCAGAAATGAATAGGTACCCTTCCCCAGATCCTGTGTCGGAGCTCTACGGACAATTCCTTCGACCTCATGGCTTGGTTTTTGCTCTGACATGCACTGTTAACTGTGGGACCTTATATAGACAGGTGTGTGTCTTTCCAAATAAGTCCAATCAATTGAATTTACCACAGGTAGACTCCAATCAAGTTGTTGAAACATCTCAAGGATGATGAATGGAAACAGGATGCACCTGAGCTCAATTTCGAGTCTCATAGCAAAGGGTCTGAATACTTACATAAATAAGGTATTTCTATTTTTGTTTTTTTTATGAATTTGCAAACATTTCTAAAAACCAGTTTTCGCTTTATCATAATGGGGTATTATGGGTTGGTTTTTATTTAATAATAATAATGGTCCTCTGTAGCTCAGCTGGTAGAGCACGGCACTTGTAACGCCAAGGTAGTGGGTTCGATCCCCGGGACCACCCATACACAAAAAAATGTATGCACGCATGACTGTAAGTCGCTTTGGATAAAAGCGTCTGCTAAATGGCATATTATTATTATAATATGCCATTTAGCAGACGCTTTTATCCAATGTCATGCGTGCATAATTTTTTTTTGTGTATGGGTGGTCCCGGGGATCGAACCCACTACCTTGGCGTTACAAGCGCCGTGCTCTACCAGCTGAGCTACAGAGGACCACATTTTAGGACCATCCATTTTAGAATAAGGATGTAACGTAACAAAATGTGGAAGAAGTCAAGTGGTCTGAATAATTTCCGAAGTCACTGTATATATATATATATTTAAAATGTATTTTCCTTCATTATTTTCCCCTAACCCTACCACCCCTCCCCTAATTGGAGTAAACTAATGGACAACAACACTTATGCTTCTACTTCCAGCTTATACATAATATATACATTTTACGGACACAATGTATTTTACAATACTTATCTTTGTTTGTTTTTAATCCTATCCTTCAGCTACCATCAACCCCTCCCATCTCTCTCTGAAGACCATCCAGTTTGATTTCTATTTTGCCATGTATTTTTAACTGTGCTGTTTCACAAAAGTTCTGAACCTATATACATTTTACGGACAGTATATTTTACATGAGTTATCTTGTTGTTTTTAATCCCACCCTTCAGCTCCACTCAACCCCTCCAATCTGTCACTTAACACCATCCATATTATTGATCGATTGACTATGACTTTTCAAATCACCCAGTACTGCTATCTGCAGAGTTAGCTCCAGGTAAATGTTGCACTTCTTCAACCATTCCTGGACCTGCGACCAAAAACAAGCTACATATGGACAGTACCAAACAAATGATCTAATGTTTCGGTCTCTTCGTAGCGAAATCTGCAGAGCTGGGATGGTTGTATCATCCATATATATAACATTATATTGGTGGCAAGAATTTTGTATAATAATTTAAATAGAAAATTCAAAGTTTTAAATCCAGCGTTGTTTTCCGTATCAGTTCATAAACCATGTGCCATGGAATCGGTACATCGAAAATCTCTTCCCAACTATTTTGCAAGATATAGGCACAGCTGTACATTTTTTGGTCCTTAAATGAAACTGGTATACTTTTTTATTTATCACAACTTTCTTTAACGTTTCTTTGGTTCTTTGTCCACAGCCATTCTTTGAGGATCCAGAGGGAAAGGTCGAGCTGCCTCTGTCGCTGAAAGTGCACTCATGGAAGCGCCCTTCAGAGCACATACTCACCAAGGTAAGGGTACTTCAGGGCATGGCCTTGGATTGTGCATCACACAGTCTGCATCCAACATAGAGGACACAGATGATGCACAGTACTAGATATACTCAGGGCCAGTGGTGTAAAGTACTTAAGTAAAAATACTTTAAAGTACCACATAAATACACTGCTCAAAAAAATAAAGGGAACACTTAAACAACACAATGTAACTCCAAGTCAATCAAACTGTCCACTTAGGAAGCAACACTGATTGACAATAAATTTCACATGCTGTTGTGCAAATGGAATAGACAACAGGTGGAAATTATAGGCAATTAGCAAGACACCCCCAATAAAGAAGTGGTTCTGCAGGTGGTGACCACAGACCACTTCTCAGTTCCTATGTTTCCTGGCTGATGTTTTGGTCACTTTTGAATGCTGGCGGTGCTTTCACTCTAGTGGTAGCATGAGACGGAGTCTACAACCCACACAAGTGGCTCAGGTAGTGCAGCTCATCCAGGATGGCACATCAATGCGAGCTGTGGGAAGAAGGTTTGCTGTGTCTGTCAGCGTAGTGTCCAGAGCATGGAGGCGCTACCAGGAGACAGGCCAGTACATCAGGAGACGTGGAGGAGGCCGTAGGAGGGCAACAACCCAGCAGCAGGACCGCTACCTCCGCCTTTGTGCAAGGAGGAGCAGGAGGAGCACTGCCAGAGCCCTGCAAAATGACCTCCAGCAGGCCACAAATGTGCATGTGTCTGCTCAAACGGTCAGAAACACACTCCATGAGGGTGGTATGAGGGCCCGACGTCCACAGGTGGGGGTTGTGCTTACAGCCCAACACCGTGCAGGACGTTTGGTATTTGCCAGAGAACACCAAGATTGGCAAATTCGCTACTGGCACCCTGTGCTCTTCACAGATGAAAGCAGGTTCACACTGAGCACATGTGACAGACGTGACAGAGTCTGGAGACTCCGTGGAGAACGTTCTGCTGCCTGCAACATCCTCCATCATGACCGGTTTGGCAGTGGGTCAGTCATGGTGTGGGGTGGCATTTCTTTGGGGGGCCGCACAGCCCTCCATGTGCTCGCCAGAGGAAGCCTGACTGCCATTAGGTACCGAGATGAGATCCTCAGACCCCTTGTGAGACCATATGCTGGTGCGGTTGGCCCTGGGTTCCTCCTAATGCAAGACAATGCTAGACCTCATGTGGCTGGAGTGTGCCAGCAGTTCCTGCAAGAGGAAGGCATTGATGCTATGAACTGGCCCGCCCATTCCCCAGACCTGAATCCAATTGAGCACATCTGGGACATCATGTCTCGCTCCATCCACCAACGCCACGTTGCACCACAGACTGTCCAGGAGTTTAGTCCAGGTCTGGGAGGAGATCCCTCAGGAGACCATCCGCCACCTCATCAGGAGCATGCCCAGGCGTTGTAGGGCGGTCATACAGGCACACGTGGAGGCCACACACACTACTGAGCCTCATTTTGACTTGTTTTAAGGACATTACATCAAAGTTGGATTAGCCTGTAGTTTGGTTTTCCACTTTAATTTTGAGGGTGACTCCAAATCCAGACCTCCATGGGTTGATACATTTGATTTCCATTGATAATTTTTGTGTGATTTTGTTGTCAGCACATTCAACTATGTAAAGCAAAAAGTTTTTAATAAGATTATTTCATTCATTCAGATCTAGGATGTGTTGTTTAAGTGTTCCCTTTATTTTTTTGAGCAGTGTAGTTTTTGGGTGTATCTGTACTTTACTATTTATATTATTTTACTCCACTACATTCCAAAATAAAATTATGTAATTTTTACTTCATACATTTTCCCTGACACCCAAAAGTACTCATTACATTTCGAATGGTTAGCAGGACAGGAAAATTGTCAAATTCACACACTTATCAAGAGAAAATCCCTGGTCGTACATACTGCCTCTGATCTGGCCGACTCACTAAACACAGATTATTTGTTTTTTAAATTATTGTATAAGTGTTGGAGTGTGCCCCTGGCTATCCGCAAATTAAAACAACAAGAAAATGATGGTGTCTGGTTTGCTTAATTTTTTATTTAATTTTACCTTTATTTAACTATGCAAATCAGTTAAGAACAAAATCTTATTTACAATGACAGCCTACTCCGGCCAAACCCAGACGACGCTAGACCAATTGTGCGCCGCCCTATGGGACTCCCAATCACGGCCGGATGTGATACAGCCTGGAATCGAACCAGGGTCTGTAGTGACGCCTCTAGCACTGAGATGCAGTGCCTTAGACCGCTGCGCCACTCGGGAGCCCATATATAATATAAGGAATGTGAAATTATTTATACTTTTGATTCTTAAGTATATTTTAGCAAATATATTTACTTTTGATACTGAAGTGTATTTAAAACCAAATACTTTTTTACTTTTATTTGGTGACTTTTACTTTAGTCATTATCTATGAAGGTATCTTTACTTTTACTAAAGTATGACAGTTGTGTACTTTTTCCACTGCTCAGGGCCAGGGCATTCAAGTCGACACACTGCAAAGAGACTGCACAAGAACAGAATGTTCCACTATACTAGGCTACATGTACAGTATTTCACAAAGTTCAACAGAGTGCTATAGATAGCCAGGTCACTCAGGGCCATCTTATCATGTAGTGTGCAGAAATGTATGGCTGTTATGTCTCTGTCTGTCTGTCTGTCTGTCTGTCTGTCTGTCTGTCTGTCTGTCTGTCTGTCTGTCTGTCTGTCTGTCTGTCTGTCTGTCTGTCTGTCTGTCTGTCTGTCTGTCTGTCTGTCTGTCTGTCTGTCTGTCTGTCTGTCCGTCCGTCCGTCCGTCCGTCCGTCCGTCCGTCCGTCCGTCCGTCCGTCCGTCCGTCCGTCCGTCCGTCCGTCCGTCCGTCCGTCCGTCCGTCCGTCCGTCCGTCCGTCCGTCCGTCCGTCCGTCCGTCCGTCCGTCCGTCCGTCCGTCCGTCCGTCCGTCCGTCCGTCCGTCCGTCCGTCCGTCCGTCCGTCCGTCCGTCCGTCCGTCCGTGCGTGCGTGCGTGCGTGCGTGCGTGCGTGCGTGCGTGCGTGCGTGCAACACTAAGCAATTAAGCTTCCTGTTATTTGAATTAGTGCTTACCAGCACAGGTCATGGGGCGTCTTCCACTCAACTATGTCAAGAACGTTTAATTCATTCTGTATAAAATGAAACGCACAGGAATACGCAATCAAGCACAGATGTGGCACTGCTGTTCTGTCTCTTCCTTCAGCTCTCCACCATCCTATTCTAGAACCCCTTCATTGACGGAATGAGTTGAGGTTTTGGTTTTTATGTACGGTTGCCATGACAGTGGAAGGGCTCTCCTTGGAGGGAGGGAGAGAGAGAGTGAGAGATCTTGAAGGCTATCTCTCTATGATCGGTGGAGTCTTTAATTCGTATTTGATTAGTGGCCTGGTGGAGTCTCTTAACTCCCTAATCCAATTTTGGTTGCAAACATGTCCTCTTGAGGAATCCTGGAAAAACTATGGTGGACTCTTTTAGCTAAGCATATTTGAAAAGTAAAATTATTGTTTCATGAATATTTCAATTTTACATGGGTAACCTGTTTTTCAGAGGGTAATCTAGTAAACTTCCCAACGCCGTTTTACAAAATGTGTCTGTGTAATGTTTCATTTTGCAGTTCAGTAACTTTCAGAACATCATTGACTGCACAGAGCCCAGGCGTCCATCACTTTAGAAGTGGGAAAGGGGGTTGTTTGATGCATCATAGAAAAGCATTGTTTCCATTCCATTATTTTGTTCCCATGTTAAAAACATATCATGCATTTTATACTAGCCTCCGGTAATAGTGGAGAACGAATCATCATTTGACCTGACCGCAGCCAATGAGCACCTGCTCTGCAGTGAGGTAAGCGCTCTCCACAGACTTTACTTGACTTACCTTTTCGTAAAGGCTTATCACACTGTTGTCATCTAACAGTGATTTCTGATGGACAGTAATGAATGACATAGGGACACTTATAGATTAAGTGATTGATTGAATTGGTTCATTAAAGTAATTTAGTCATTGATCAATAGATTGTTTTGTTTTTTCCATTATGTCCCTCTCCCCAGCTCTTCAGGTGGATAGTGAGTGAGATCTACATAGTGTGGAAGATCTGTAATGGGACGTCAGTAGAGCAGGGATCGGACGTCTGGAAGCCTTGGGAACACATCTACTCCCTGTGTAAGGTGGTCAAGGGCCACATGCCTCTCTATAACGTCTATGGGAAGTACGTGGTCAAACTCTACTGGATGGTGAGTGATAGGTGTAGTCAAAACAGATTATAGGCCTAGTTTCTCTGACCCAGTTTACCCCTGCAGTACCCCTGGACTCAGTCTTCATTGAGAGCACTTTTTAGTCCAGGAATATAGGCTTAATCTGGGTTTGTTAATCTGGGACTGTGGAACTGGTCTGCCCTATGGAGTATAGTATTATTAGCATGAAATATTTTCCACTTTACAAGATACAGTAAATGCTACTCTATTTGTAGCTTCCAAGTGTTTTAATTTACCCTCATGTTCTTACCATGTTAAATCATGTCTGAACGTCCCGCATACCCTGAGGTTGTTAAGACACAAACATATTGTTGTATCCAAACTCCACCAGTCAGCTAATTTCCACCTGTTCACCTAGGAGAAAAAGACAATCCATCATTAATTTCAGAGGGCTACACAGAGAATAGAGGATGCAGCCCAGCCTCATCCACTCAGGCACGAATCAATCAGTCTCGCTGCTGTGTTAATGTGAGGAGGCTTTGCACATCGTCTGATGAATTGATAGGGTATAACAGGAGTCATCTGCCTCAGGATATCAGTCAGTGGGACACTTTTATGACAGCAAGGCGGTGGCACTCAGTCATGCTATGGGTCTTCCTGTTTTGTGGGGTAATTTCAAAGCAATGTCAGTAGTCAGTATGAGGTATGATGATACATACAGTGGGGGAAAAAAGTATTTAGTCAGCCACCAATTGTGCAAGTTCTCCCACTTAAAAAGATGAGAGAGGCCTGTAATTTTCATCATAGGTACACGTCAACTATGACAGACAAAATGAAAAGAAATTCTCCAGAAAATCACATTGTAGGATTTTTTATGCATTTATTTGCAAATTATGGTGGAAAATAAGCATTTGGTCAATAACTAAAGTTTCTCAATACTTTGTTATATACCCTTTGTTGGCAATGACACAGGTCAAACGTTTTCTGTAAGTCTTCACAAGGTTTTCACACACTGTTGCTGGTATTTTGGCCCATTCCTCCATGCAGATCTCCTCTAGAGCAGTGATGTTTTGGGGCTGTCGCTGGGCAACACAGACTTTCAACTCCCTCCAAAGATTTTCTATGGGGTTGAGATCTGGAGACTGGCTAGGCCAATCCAGGACCTTGAAATGTTTCTTACGAAGCCACTCCTTCGTTGCCCGGGCGGTGTGTTTGGGATCATTGTCATGCTGAAAGACCCAGCCACGTTTCATCTTCAATGCCCTTGCTGATGGAAGGAGGTTTTCACTCAAAATCTCACGATACATGGCCCCATTCATTCTTTCCTTTACACGGATCAGTCGTCCTGGTCCCTTTGCAGAAAAACAGCCCCAAAGCATGATGTTTCCACCCCCATGCTTCACAGTAGGTATGGTGTTCTTTGGATGCAACTCAGCATTCTTTGTCCTCCAAACACGACGAGTTAAGTTTTTACCAAAAAGTTCTATTTTGGTTTCATCTGACCATATGACATTCTCCCAATCCTCTTCTGGATCATCCAAATGCACTCTAGCAAACTTCAGACGGGCCTGGACATGTACTGGCTTAAGCAGGGGGACACGTCTGTCACTACAGGATTTGAGTCCCTGGCGGCGTAGTGTGTTACTGATGGTAGGCTTTGTTACTTTGGTCCCAGCTCTCTGCAGGTCATTCACTAGGTCCCCCCCGTGTGGTTCTGGGATTTTTGCTCACCGTTCTTGTGATCATTTTGACCCCACGGGATGAGATCTTGCGTGGAGCCCCAGATCGAGGGAGATTATCAGTGGTCTTGTATGTCTTCCATTTCCTAATAATTGCTCCCACAGTTGATTTCTTCAAACCAAGCTGCTTACCTATTGCAGATTCAGTCTTCCCAGCCTGGTGCAGGTCTACAATTTTGTTACTGGTGTCCTTTGACAGCTCTTTGGTCTTGGCCATAGTGGAGTTTGGAGTGTGACTGTTTGAGGTTGTGGACAGGTGTCTTTTATACTGATAACAAGTTCAAACAGGTGCCATTAATACAGGTAACGAGTGGAGGACAGAGGAGCCTCTTAAAGAAGAAGTTACAGGTCTGTGAGAGCCAGAAATCTTGCTTGTTTGTAGGTGACCAAATACTTATTTTCCACCATAATTTGCAAATAAATTCATAAAAAATCCTACAATGTGATTTTCTGAAAAAAAAATTCTCAATTTGTCTGTCATAGTTGACGTGTACCTATGATGAAAATTACAGGCCTCTCTCATCTTTTTAAGTGGGAGAACTTGCACAATTGGTGGCTGACTAAATACTTTTTTTCCCACTGTACAGTGCAGTCTGGTGGGAGGAGTTGTAGGAGGACCGGCTCATTGTAATGGCTGGAATGGAATAATGGAACAGAGTCAAACATGTGGTTTCCAAATGTTTGATACCGTTCAATTGATTCCATTCCAGCCATTACAATTAGCACGTCCTCCTATAGCTCCTCCCACCAGCCTCCACTGATACAGTGCCTGCAGAAAGTATTCAAACTCCTTGGCTTTTTCCACATTTTGTTGTGTTACAGCCTGAATTTTAAAGGGATTACATTGAGATTTTTTGTCACTCGCCTACACACAATACCCCATAATTTCGAAGTAGAATTATGTTTTTCGTAATTTTTTACAAATTAATTAAAAATGAAAAGCTGAAATGTCTTGAGTCAATAAGTATTCAACCCCTTTTTTATGGCAAGCATAAATAAGTTCAGGAGTAAAAATTTGCTTAACAGGTCACATAATAAGTTGCATGGACTCACTCTGTGTGCAATAATAGTGTTTAACATGATTTTTGAATGACTACCTCATCTCTGTACCCCACACATACAATTATCTGTAAGGTCCCTTAGTCGAGCAGTGAATTTCAAACACAGATTCAACGATAAAGACCAGGGAGGTTTTCCAATGCATCGCAAAGAAGGGCACCTATTGGTAGATGGGTTAAAACAGTTTTTTTTTTATTAATTACACTTTGGATGGTGTATCAATACACCCTGTCACTACAAAGATACAGGCGTCCTTCCTAACTCAGTTGCCGGAGAGGAATGAAACCGCTCAGGGATTTCACCATGAGATCAATGGTGACATTAAAACAGTTACAGAGTTTAATGGCTATGATAGGAGAAAACTGAGGATGGATCAAAAACATTGTAGTTACTTCACAATACGATCCTAAGTGACAGAATGAAAAGAAGGAAGCCTGTACAGAATCAAAGGCATTAAAGTAATACTGCAAAAAATGTGGCAAAGCAATTAACTTTTTGTCCTGAATACAAAGTGTTATATTTGGGGCAAATCCAATACAACACATTACTGAGTACCACTCTCCATATTTTCAAGCAGAGTGGTGGCTGCATCATGTTATGGGTATGCTTGTAATCATTAAGGACTGGGGAATTTTTCAGGATAAAATAGAAACAGAATGGAGCTAAACATAGGCAAAACCCTAGAGAAAAACCTGGTTCAGTCTGCTTTCCACCAGACACTGGGAGATGAATTCACCTTTCAGCAGGGAAATAACCTAAAACACAAGGCCAAATCTACACTGGAGTTGCTTGAACAGTGAATGTTCCTGAGTGGCCAATTTAAAGTTTTGACTTAAATCTACTTGAAAAATATGGCAAAACCGGAAAATGGTTGTCTAGCAATGAACAACAACCAACTTGACAGAGCTTGAAGAATTTTGAAAATAATAATGGGCAAATGTTGTACAATCCAGGTGTGGAAAGCTCTTGAGACTTACCCAGAAACACTCACAGCTGTAATCACTGACAAAGGTGCTTCTACAAAGTATTAACTCAGGGGTGTGAAAACCTATGTAAATTAGATATTTCTGTATTTCATTTTCAATACATTTGCAACATTTTCTTGGGTGGTGAAGATAGGCCTATTACATTTTTATCAAATTGTTGGATTTTCAATGTCGAAAATATAAGTTTTTAAACATAAGCGTATCAAACACAGCAATACGAAAGGGATTGTGAGGTATAGGAGGAAGAGAGAATGTAACAGTTAAACTCACTGGCATGCATGACAAGATTGGAGGCAGCAGCTCCCGTGCCAACACTAGCATGCTAACAGATGGATATGGAGACATAATACGCCATCCCCTCGCTTCCTTTCTCTCTTCCCCTCTCTCGACTCTCGCTTTCTCTCATCACCTCTCGCTCTCTCGCTCTTCCCCTCTCTCTCCTTGTTTATCTCTCTGTCTCTTTTCCTCTTCCTCCCGCCCTTTCTCTCACATACTCCTCTGCATCTCTCCCTCTCTCTTCATGAAGTTAGCTCCTTCACACCCTGTCCAGTCTCATCTGCAGAAAGGTTGAGCAGCTCCTGAGGGGGATGATTAGGATGGGGGGAGGACAATGAGACCGAGAGAGAGGCACAGCTGTGATCAGTCAGTCAGATTACACTGTGCGTCTAAAGACTGATGCTGCACGTCACTATATTTCACTGTGTAACTCCCACAGACAGCCAGTGGACATAGAGAACACTGATAGGCTGCCTGTCTGCCACTGGGTAGAAGAGAGAATATGGATTCCTAGAAGGAGAGAGGCAGGGTAAATGGAATGGTGGGTGTAGGAATGTCCATCTTCAATAGCTAAATAGGTTAGCTATATGAATTAAAAATAAATGGGTTTCCTAGGAAGATTTTCACTTAGCAACTGTGCTGTGTGAAAGTGTCCCAGCTCACCACTTCTCCATCTCTTCCCATCTGTATTTAATAACTGTAGTGATGCTCTCTGGTGTTTGTGAATCATACTCAAGGGTGCTGCAATCAAATACAGTACCTACATGACAAATGGACAATAGATGTAATAAGGACCACTTATATAGTAGAGCTCCATTTCAAATAGCATTGCCTACACAGCGCTAGTACAGACCAGTCACTATTGGATTAGTCCCTGATGTTTCAAACAGCAAATCGATTGAAGTCAACACTCCCATATTCTGCAGTTTTCTCAACATTGACTGCCTGGTCAGTGGAAATTGGATTATATCCAGCCTATTAAACAAATCTAAAGAATAAAGAACGATACACTGAAAGTATTGATACTGTAATGGGCTGGTAAATGAAACTCACTGTTCTCTCTGTCAATTTCCAATTTCTATCGCTCTCTCTCTTACTTGCCCTCTTGCTCCCCACCTCCCCTCGCTCTATTGTTCCCTCCTCATCTGTTGGCTCTTTTTTTCTCCCCCATCTGTCAGGGCTGCTGGAGGAAGATCACGGTGGACGATGCGTTGCCGTTTGATGAGGACAACAACCTGCTGCTTCCTGCCACCACCAACCAATCAGAGCTGTGGCCCATGCTGCTGGCCAAGGCCATCATTAAACTGGCCAACACAGAGTGAGTTCAACCATAGTTAAATCCTACTGAAACCTCAAAACCACCCTAAAGAGGGGACACAAACCAACAATCAACTTCAATTACAGGGGGGGCACAAACCAATGACTGTTTATATGAATGGACAAAGCAATCGATCATATGACACCACCCACATGAAAAAAAAATACTATAGTATTAACTGTAGTGTTTTTGTGGACTTTACTGTAGTATTCACTGTAGGGTTTTTGCACTCCCGAGTGGCGCAGCGGTCTAAGGCGCTGCATCGCAGTGCTAGCTGTGCCACTAGAGATCCTGGTTCGTATCCAGGCTCTGTCGTAGCCGGCCGCGACCGGGAGACCCATGGGGCGGCGCGCACAATTGGCCCAGCGTCGTCCAGGGTAGGGGAGGGATTTGGCCGGCAGGGGATGTAGCTCAGTTGGTAGAGCATGGCGTTTGCAACGCCAGGGTTGTGGGTTCGATAAAAATAATGTATGCACTAACTGTAAGTCGCTCTGGATAAGAGCGTCTGCTAAATGACTAAAATGTAAATGTAAATGTAAGTCTGCAGAAACACTACAGTAAATACTGTAGCATTTACTTTAGTAAACTGTAGTATACTGTAGTATTTACAGTTGAAGTTGCACTATGCAGAAATCGCTCCACCATTTCCTGGTTGCTAAAATGCTAATAATTTGCCTAATTTCAGTTTATGTGACAAAATAAGAGAGTATAGTGTAGAGAATAATTGTACCATCTAAACCGCTGTGAAATATATTTTCCATAACCAAAAATATTGTTGTTTCAGAGGTTTGAAGCTGGTGTATAAAACCGAAAGTAAAAGACGCAAAAACAAAACTTAAGAACGGGAAGCATAGAAATAGTGGACATTGAAAATATCTACTGCTTCTTAGACTTGCTTTCAAGTAGAATGATAGATCTATACTTATATGTGAATTTGATCGGGTCTCACAAAAAGTTTAATGTAGTGTTTTTACGGATTGTAGTATACTGTAGTATTTACTGTAGTGTTTTTGTGGACTGTAATATACTGTAGTATTTACAGTAGTGTTTTTTCTGACATTACTGTAGTATTTACTATAGTGTTTTTATTTTATTATCTTTGACATAGAAGTGGAAGCTTTCTCCTTGAGGAAACCTACTGGAAAAATACTAAAAGAGAAAATATTCCATAACCTGTAGGTAGGTAGGACTATCCATTTAGAGCTTCTGCTCTTTTCTATAACGTTTAAGGAACACAATATATGGTCTATACTTGGCATGTAGGTTTCTTACTTATGGGTGGCACAAATTGGGATATGTGGGAGGGGAATGGGCAGGGTATATGCAAATGAAATACTATAGTATTTAATATAGTTAAAAAATGAGTGTTTTTGAGAAAATGACTAGTGTTTACTATAGTATTCTACAGTATACTACAAAATGCTATAGTAAGTACTACACATAATCGAGGGATACCACAGAGTGTGGTATAGTATTCTACAGTTTAATACAGAATTGTAATAATAAGTACTGTAGTGTTCTATAGTAAACTGTAGTATTTATTTAATTCCTATGTGAAGACTCAATGGTGCATTGAAGCCAAGTTAAGTCGGTTAAGACGGCGTCTCATGGAGACAGAACATGCGCTGTTTGAGCTACTCCAGGAAGTGACATTGCAGTGCTGTCCCCTCTCATTGAGTAACTCAAATTGAAGGCCAAATGGGGTACAGCAGGCTGCCATCAGCAACTAAATTATCCTTAACTTCTTCTGTGTGCGATTTTAAAATAATCGGTTCAAGGACATACATCTGGTGTATTAGAAGCAATTATTGGCACCATGATTGTCTTAAAAAATATATATTTACACAAAGATTGACCACGAAGATTGCCATTTTTCAATTCACTATAATAGGGGATCCTGTTATCTGCAAACAATGCCTGCAGTACCAAGGTCGGCATTGAACTTCCGTGGCTTCAATGAGAGGTGGAAGCCGTTCTCCCCTGGCACACACCCTATTATCAGTCCTTAGTACTACCACGGTGCTTAGAAAGTACAACTCACATGTATTCTTTGTATTAAAAAAAAATATATATATATATATATATATATAATAATAATAAACAATTATTATTGGATAGGACAGAAGTTGAGAGGGAAGGAGAGTGTGCTGAAATTCCAGTAGGCCGGAATTGAACCCATGCTGCAGCGATATATGTGCACCCAGTGTTTCCCCTGCATTCGTTTAGCAGCGGTGCCCCGCTGCTGCTAAATTGTTGCAGCCACTCTAAAAAGTATAATAAAAAAATGAATAAGAATAAATAACTGTAAAAAAAATGTGTAGTGTGTATATATATATATAAATATTTCTGCCGCGCTTTTAAAGGGATAGTGCGAGATTTTGGCAATTAAGCCCTTTTTCTTCTTACCCAGAGTCAAATGAACTCATGGATACCATTTGTATGTCTCTGCGTGCAGTTTGAAGAAAGTTTCTAACTAGCATTGGCGCAATGATTGAAATTCTATGTTCCCGTAGACTTCCAGTCATTGTGCTAATGCTAGTTAGCAATGGCTCACAAAGCTACCTTCAACTTCCTTCAAACTGCATGCAGAGACATACAAATGTTACCCATTAGTTAATCTGACTGGGTAAGCAGAAAAAGGGCTTAATTGCCTAAATCTTGCCCTAACCCTTTTAAATCAGTGACAAGTTTCAACATATATTTGTAGCAAAACAAAATGAGCAGTGGCGCAAATGAGAGCCACGAGCACACAACCAACACTTGCTCCTCATCATCTCCCTACAAGGCAGTGCTCGCATCAGTTACAGTATATTTCTGATGGTGTCAACATAATTAAACGTTCATGCATTTTGGAGTGGAATGTCCTTTTTTTTTTGAAGTCACCAGAAGTGACATTCATTCAGTCGTTCTACCAAAAAGATATGACCTTTGTCACTGCTTCTGAAAAAGAATCCTCTGGGAAACACTGGCACCGTAGGCAGCGGCATAGACCGTTAGGCCATTCATTTCAGCCTCAGTATACCTCCCCATATGTTTACACAGGACTTTATTACTGTACATGCTTGGGAAGGTAAGTAAACAAAGCACTACAGCAACACACACACAACACACACACACTGCTGGGCTATTTTGTTGACATTATAGAAACAGACACACTGGGTCGATTCCCCAGTCTGTCACTCTACAATTTGGTGGCTTGTGCGTGCGTGTGATTGTAGGATTTACTGTATGTTGTTGTTGTGGTTTTATGGTTGTCAAAGGTTGGGACATAAATGTTTCATCTCAGACAGGAAATCCGGTGTCTCTGCTTGTGAATCTTTTATAACCCCAGTAAAAGTTCAAAAGAGATACAGCTCTGAAAAAACTTTGACCATGTGTCTGTCTGCATGGCTTATCATAAAATCATAGTCTAAATCTTGAATCTTCCATATCCATTTTGGTTGGTGTGCTTTTTATAGAAATCACAGTGAAGCACAGTATGGAGTTCAGTCACATTTTTAGGATGGTTTATAGTTTTTCAGTGTTAGATATTGAGTAGGGCCATACAGTAAACATTGATCAATTTCCATTTTATGATTCATTACTGTCTACTGGACAGATTGGGCACAGTGTCCCATGAGGTGCAATTAGACCCACAAACATCTGTTTCAGTACAAAAACACTACCAGTACACCCGCACACACACACACACATACACCCACACAAACAGACGCATGCACGCACACACACACCCACAGACAGACAGACATACACACACAGATCATATGATAGAGTTCCCGGGGTTTCTCTGATATCAACTTCTATGTTTGTGTATTTCATAAACAATCAAGCATAAAATTACTTTGTTTTCCTCTGTATGCCTGAGAAGCTTCTGTCTGTCTCTGACTATCCCATCTAATTGCTGCTAGGTCAAATCTCCCTGCTGTGATACTGTGAATATCTCTGTGTGAGTGTTAGTCGGGACTACAGTAGTCAATTTAGCTGTGGTTTCCTAATGTGCGTTTTGTACATTGTGGTGTAATGTGTTTGTACAATATATGTGTGTTTGTGTTGCAGTGTGGTGTCAGGACAGACGAAGGAGCTGGGAGAGTTCACTGTCATCCATGCTCTGACCGGATGGATACCTGAACTCATGCCTCTACAGTAGGGTCATCATCCACTTATCTCTTCTCTTCTCCTCATCCATTTGTCCTGTTCTATTTCTGTTCATTCAAGTAGGGTTATCCTCCTTTTGTAGCTTTAGTTTTTCACATCCACACTTTATTAGACCCTTGTTTTGTACAATATAATATTCCCTGTTGCTTTTGTTGTTAAAAACCAAGAGTCCATTTTGACCTATGAGGCCTGGTACCTAAAGGCCTGGTACCTTTGTGGATGCAGTGAGGGACTGCAAGTGCTGGGGCTTGACTCCTCTTCAATTCAACTTTAAGAGGATAAACTGTGTTCGGGGAAGCAGGAGGGTGTTCTCTCCACCTCAGTAGGTTAGCTGTTGTTAGTGGACCCCCTGGGGACCCTATCAGCCAACACAGTCAGGGTGTGAGTGTGTGTGTGTGTGTGTGTGTGTGTGTGTGTGCTGAGGCACACAAAAACACACAGTCTTCTTCTCTCTCCCTATTTTTTCCTCTCTCTCCTACTTTCTATCTATCACACACAGACATACAGACACCCACCAGGCTAGTGTTAGTGTGGCAGTTCTACAGGGGTCGAGGGGCTGTGGGAGGTCCCATTGTAATTTACTCCATGTTAAACCTGGATGGGGGTAGGAACACACACACACACTACCAGGAAACAGTACTGTGGGGTTGAGAACACACACACAGACATGTACACGTACACACACACCAGTGGCGGTCGGTGCCATTTAAGATTAGGAAGGACATTCTTTAATTTTTTTATTACAACATATTGGATGACCGTCATTCATATTCAATTCACCCAGCTCAATGTAACATCGATAGGTTTAGGCTACTACATGATACCCAAATTTGCCCTATACCCATCATGAGGTTTCTTCAACCTAGCCTACAAATGAAAGTTTATAACGTAGGTGCACAGATCGAGAGACAAATTGGAGTAATCAAGGTGACAGACAGTGACACATTCAATACTGCCTTGCACACTCTTGCCTGCATCTAGTTGATCTGGGGTGTAATCATTAGTCCAAACTGAAGTCTAAAATGAGTTTATTATGGACAAATTCAGGTAGGTCCATCCCCGTTTCATTCCGTTTGCTTCAGTTAAAGAAAGTTTTGCAACAGAATCGGCGGAATGAATACACCCCTGATCACCTGCACACACAGTTCACTTTCATAGCAGCCACATACAGCATCATCACTTTGCTTGTTGTATAATTCCTTTTTGCATCTAAGCGCTCTCCTCTCACCTTTTTCCTTCGCTTGTGGACTTCAGTGCACAACACAACAGCTGTTTGTGACCAGGTGCAAAAACCTCTCCAAGCTTTATACCATAAACACATTTTTGTCACCATATTAGCTAACTTGTTAGTAAACCCACAATCCAATCAATGTGTACAATCACGCAGTATAGTGTACATCTAGCAGTTACACCGGCGGGCCCCGGTGGCAATAAATTAATAAAACCGAAAGTTTACCTTGACATGGAAGAGTTGCAGTGTTGGAGAGGCTTAGCCAGCTAGCTAACATAAATAGCATTCCTCTCTGTTTGAGTCAGGTTGTTGAGTAGGCTAAATGACCTGCATTAGCTAAGTAATTTACATTTACATTTTAGTTATTTAGCAGACACTCTTATCCAGAGCGACTTACTGTTAATTGAAAGGTAAACTAAGAAGAAGAAAAGATTCAACGAAATATAGCTAGCACTCTCTCTTTTTTTGTTGTTGAATAAATTAATTTGTTCAAAAGTGTTCAACTATTGTCTTTCTCTCTCTTTGAGTCAACTACTCACCACACTTTATGCACTGCAGTGGTAGATAGTTGTAGCTTATGCTTTAAGTACTAGATTAATTATCTTTGATTAGATGAACAAGATGTTAGTTCATACTGAAAGAGTTCTGATAGGTTGGAGGATGTCCTCTGGAAGTTGTCATAATTATTGTGTAAGTCAGTGGAAGGAGGTGAAAACCATGAGCCTCCTAGGTTTTGTATTGAATTTTAAAAAATCAAATGTATTTATGAAGCCCTTTTTACATCAGCGGATGTCACAAAGTGCTATACAGAAACCCAGCCTAAAATCCCAAACAGCAAGCAATGCAGATGTAGAAGCCTGGTAGCTAGGAAAAACTCCCATGAAAGGCAGGAACCTAGGAAAAAACAAGGCTCTGAGGGGTGGCCAGTCCTCTTCTGGCTGTGCCGGGTGGAGATTATAAGAGTACATGGCCATTAAGGCCAGATTGTTTGTCAAGATGTTCAAATGTTCATAGATGACCAGCAGGGTTGTAGAGGGTGCAACAGGTCAGTCCCTCAGGAGTAAATGTCAGTTGGCTTTTCATAGCCGAGCATTCAAATCAAAACACATTTATTGGTCACATACACGTGTTTAGGAGATGTTATTGCGGGTGTAGCGAAATGCTTGTGTTTCTAGCTCTGACAGTGCAGTAATATCTAACAATTTCACAACATATACCCAATACACACAAATATAAGTAAAGCAATTGAATTAAGAATATACACTGCTCAAAAAAATAAAAACACTTAAACAACACAATGTAACTCCAAGTCGATCACACTTCTGTGAAATCAAACTGTCCACTTAGGAAGCAACACTGATTGACAATACATTTCACATGCTGTTGTGCAAATGGAATAGACAACAGGTGGAAATTATAGGCAATTAGCAAGACACCCCCAATAAAGGAGTGGTTTTGCAGGTGGTGACCACAGACTATTTCTCAATTCCTATGCTTCCTGGCTGATGTTTTGGTCACTTTTGAATGCTGAGGGTGCTTTCACTCTAGTGGTAGCAAGAGACGGAGTCTACAACCCACACAAGTGGCTCAGGTAGTGCAGCTCATCCAGGATGGCACATCAATGCGAGCTGTGGGAAGAAGGTTTGCTGTGTCTGTCAGCGTAGTGTCCAGAGCATGGAGGCGCTACCAGGAGACAGGCCAGTACATCAGGAGACGTGGAGGATGCTGTAGGAGGGCAACAACCCAGCAGCAGGACTGCTACCTCTGCCTTTGTGCAAGGAGGAGCAGGAGGAGCACTGCCAGAGCCCTGCAAAATGACCTCCAGCAGGCCACAAATGTGCATGTGTCTGCTCAAAGGTCAGAAACAGACTCCATGAGGGTGGTATGAGGGCCCGACGTCCACAGGTGGGGGTTGTGCTTACAGCCCAACACCGTGCAGGACGTTTGGCATTTGCCAGAGAACACCAAGATTGGCAAATTCGCCACTGGCGCCCTGTGCTCTTCACAGATGAAAGCAGGTTCACACTGAGCACATGTGACAGACGTGACAGAGTCTGGAGACGCCATGGAGAACGTTCTGCTGCCTGCAACATCCTCCAGCATGACCGGTTTGGGTCAGTCATGGTGTGGGGTGGCATTTATTTGGGGGGCCGCACAGCCCTCCATGTGCTCGCCAGAGGTAGCCTGACTGCCGTTAGGTACCGAGATGAGATCCTCAGACCCCTTGTGAGACCATATGCTGGTGCGGTTGGCCCTGGGTTCCTCCTAATGCAAGACAATGCTAGACCTCATGTGGCTGGAGTGTGTCAGCAGTTCCTGCAAGAGGAAGGCATTGATGCTATGGACTGGCCCGACCGTTCCCCAGACCTGAATCCAATTGAGCACATCTGGGACATCATGTCTCGCTCCATCCACCAACGCCACGTTGCACCACAGACTGTCCAGGAGTTGGCGGATGCTTTAGTCCAGGTCTGTGAGGAGATCCCTCAGGAGACCATCCGCCACCTCATCAGGAGCATGCCCAGGCGTTGTAGGGAGGTCATACAGGCACGTGGAGGCCACACACTACTGAGCCTCATTTTGACTTGTTTTAAGAACATTACATCAAAGTTGGATCAGCCTGTAGTGTGGTTTCCACTTTAATTTTGAGGATGACTCCAAATCCAGACCTCCATGGGTTGATACATTTGATTTCCATTGATCATTTGTGTGTGATTTTGTTGTCAGCACATTCAACTATGTAAAGAAAAAAGTATTTAATAAGATTATTTCATTCATTCAGATCTAGGATGTGTTATTTTAGTGTTACCTTAATTTTTTTGAGCAGTGTATAAATATATATATGGACGAGCAATGTCAGAGCGGCAAAGACTAAGATACAGTAGAATAGTATAGAATACAGTATACAGTGAGGGAAAAAAGTATTTGATCCCCTGCTGATTTTGTACGTTTGCCCACTGACAAAGAAATGATCAGTCTATAATTTTAATGGTAGGTTTATTTGAACAGTGAGAGACAGAATAACAACAAAAAAATCCAGAAAAACGCATGTTAAAAATGTTATAAATTGATTTGCATTTTAATGAGGGAAATAAGTATTTGACCCCTCTGCAAAACATGACTTAGTACTTGGTGGCAAAACCCTTGTTGGCAATCACAGAGGTCAGACGTTTCTTGTAGTTGGCCACCAGGTTTGCACACATCTCAGGAGGGATTTTGTCCCACTCCTCTTTGCAGATCTTTTCTTAACAGATTTTTTATGGGATTAAGGTCTGGAGACTGGCTAGGCCACTCCAGGACCTTAATGTGCTTCTTCTTGAGCCACTCCTTTGTTGCCTTGGCCGTGTGTTTTGGGTCATTGTCATGCTGGAATACCCATCCACGACCCATTTTCAATGCCCTGGCTGAGGGAAGGAGGTTCTCCTCCAAGATTTGACGGTACATGGCCCCGTCCATCGTCCCTTTGATGCGGTGAAGTTGTCCTGTCCCCTTAGCAGAAAAACACCCCCAAAGCATAATGTTTCCACCTCCATGTTTGACGGTGGGGATGGTGTTCTTGGGGTCATAGACAGCATTCCTCCTCCTCAAAACACGGCGAGTTGAGTTGATGCCAAAGAGCTCCATTTTGGTCTCATCTGACCACAACACTTTCACCCAGTTCTCCTCTGAATCATTCAGATGTTCATTGACAAACTTCAGATGGGCATGTATTTGTGCTTTCTTGAGCAGGGGGACCTTGCGGGCACTGCAGGATTTCAGTC